ATTTTTCGGTTCTACGAAGTTACAAGACGAGACGAAAGGCCACACGTTTTTTAACTGATTTTTCGGTGCTACGGAGTAGCAACTCCGTAACCGTCCTAACTCTGGTCTCGTTGAAGATCATATCTCATTATAATTTATCGGTATAAAGACAATTGAAATTCCGAGTGTAAAAGTTCCAATCCAGATTCGATCAAATATAGAACTGTTACCTGGTTTCTTAAAGTGACTGTATATATAATTTTATCAAAAAAGTGTTGATAAGAAAAAGCTTGTTAAATAAAGAATTCGATGTTCGAGATCTCCACTTATAACTTACTTTTTTTTTGTCAGTCCCTTACCTAAAAGTCCGCAGGCTGCACAACATAAGATATTCTTCTTTTCAGAGAGTTCTATTACAGAATCCTGCACAATGATTCTAAAGAAAGTTTAGAAAGTTTTAGAGCTTACTAATATGATCTTAGGAGGGTTGAGCGACAAACTTAAGCGGCTCTATACTCCAGAAAATGTATCATCTTTCTTTTTCTATGAGTTTTTCTGCCGAATAGAGCAACAACGCAGAATTTAAGCACTAAAAACCTTATAACTCCAGATTAGACTAGGAGACTATTATACAGCAGATAGGACTGTTTGCAAACGAAATCTTTGATGGTTTTAGATTTCAAGTTTCACGATCTCAGATGATCATCGATTATGTAGCGCTAACACTCGGTCGGTTCTAAAATGCAAGTACATTTGGTGTAAAGTACTGAAGAGATAAAGAGTAACTGAGAGCGTGGGAGAGACAGATCTTAAGCAACTCTATACCAAAATTGTATTTCTTTTAGTTTAATCATTTAAATAATTAACGATTTAACAAAATTTAATTGACAACTCTAGATTTTGAAATTTGTTTTATATCAGGTCAGAATAATAGCATGTGTCATCTTCTAACATTTGAAACCCTGAACACGGTGTATTTAGTTTGTCACGAAGTTTGTAAAAGTGAACTCCCAGTAGGAAAACGTGGGAGACCCTATATAGTGCATATATATTGTATATGATATAAATAAGCAGCGAGCTGAGTCGATTTAGCTATGCCGACTATTGCAATTCAAAAGGAATGACATAAAAATTCTAGTATGAGTACTAACAGATGACTGGCTTATTGAACGACACGCCCGCTGCTGGGGATACCATACCATGAAGCTACCAAAAGGTAGAAGAAGAAAAGACTAGACATCTTCTATACCGATGCTAGGCTTTGTATCGCAACTAACTATGCCTCGGAAGTTACACATATCAAACCTTTCGAATTGACGAACTAGTCCTTCAGTTTCACTACAGAAGTTGCTCATTTGACGGAACCGCCGATAACGGGCCACTATACCATACAGGCTGACCAATCAAACTCAAGTTCTTGTAGGGAAAACTTTTTTACTTGACAAGATATCCTCACGAAAATTGGCACAGATTATTGTTCAAGGTAATGTTATAATTTTCGAAAGTATTGCTCTGATCGGCTCACTATAGCATATAGCTGCCATACAGGCTGACCGATCAAAATCAAGTTCTTGTATGGAAAAATTTTTTACTTGTTAAGATGTCGTCTCAAAATTTGGCATAGGCAATTGGCCAGAGCAGCGTTACAATCACCGACGGAATTGTTTAGATCGGATCTCTATAGCATATAGCTGCCATACAAACTGAGTAGGATAAAGATAAAGAAAAGGCTAAAGATAAAGATTAAAGAGAAATGCGTATGTAATTGGCTTACATCCTAGCTACATATTTGACCAATCAACATAACTGTTAAGTAATAAACGATGTCGAAACAAGCACCTACGATTAGTTGAACGAACATTCGTTAATCCTACACTACACTTTACTTGTAGGCTAGCACAGCCCATGTCAAATTCACACATTATTTGTGTACGGCTAAAGCGCTCTATCGGTGTGTGAGCGCGTGTGTGGCACATCCGTTCGTGTACGCATGTACGAGTATGTGTGTGTGGGCAAGCAGACAGACCGTGCAAAGTGAATGTACTTAGGCAACATATTCGCGTCTCCTGGCTAATGAGCGCTATCGAGCAGGCAGCGGTGCGCGCCTGGTTATGTGGGCGGCATTAGCGCGGTAACCAAAAAACAACTATAACAACAACAATAGCAGCAAATTAATGAATTCGATGAAGGCAACGGCTTTACGCCGCCGGTCGCAGCGTGTTAGAATGTTACGAATACAGCGCTTATTGGCTAAACAACAAAAGCACATGGTAATAATAACAACAACAAAAAAATCACAATAATAACAACAACAAAAAAGCAAAATTAAGACTAACCAAAAAAGAAATCTAACAAAAACAGGAGCAAAACAACAACGTCACGTTGGCGTAGTTCAAACAACAAAAAATACATAGTAAAAACAGGCGAAATGGCAAAAGTAGGGAGGAAAAATCGATTTTTCGTGTGGACGCCGATAAAACACAGCGCCTTTTTTCGAGCAAATGTGTGAATGTTTGTATGTGTGTGTGTTTGTGTACACTTTTTGTTTTTTGCTAGCACGGCTGATTAAAAGCACGCACTCACCTGCAAAATTTGCCTGCTACACCACTCGGTGCGGTTGTTCTGGTAGCACGTACGCTCGCTGCGCGCTTTGCCGCCGCCTTTACTCTGCTCGCTGCTCTTCCCCGCTAGCGTTTTTGTTTAAATGAAGTTGCGTTTCGCAAAATCCAACAAACATCTGTGCATTTTCTCAAACACTACTCCATGCGTAAGCGCGTATGCTAATACAATGTAGATGTGTATGCGTGTACTTCACTTCGAACTTCGAATTCACAACTTTATGCGAATTTATTGCACAACACAACTTCGAAAAGCACTTTACACACTACTTTTATATGTTTGTTGTATTATATATTTTCGTATTTTCTTGCTTCTGATTATTTTATTTACTTTTTGCTAAACATAACGGTAAATTTTGCTATGGCGATAACCTCAAAATAAAGCAAGCAGGGTTTACGCGCTTCGCCAAACACAATTTCGGCACTTTTTCATAATTTTTTTTTTACATCAATAATTATTATTTTTTATTTCAAAAAATATTTTGTATATATAATATTTTTTTTATTTATTTGTGGCGATTTGTGGCTAAACCAACGTTATAACACACGTAGCGTGATTTTTCATAACTCCACTTTTCTATACTTTTTTACACATTTTTCGCTGAACTTCATTGCACGCCTTCACGTCACTGATCCGTCTTTCCAGCAACTTCAATAGAGACATTCATGAAGTTTACTCTGTCAAGTCATACATACAACTCCCCACATGTATGTTTGTAGATATGCTTGTATGTTTGTATATGAACCGTATTTGAGCATCACTTACCGCTGTACAATATGCTCCACCGAGACACGTCTAATTCCATTCGCAGCGCATAGCACACTATTCGAATGTATTTATGAGACGATGACGATGACGACGACGACGACGACGCGTCTGTCCGACTTGGCGCTGCTTTCGTTAGTGAGCGGCCTAACCAGTGCGCAAGTCGAACGCTGAAGCGTGTTGGTAATGAAAGGTGGCGCGCGCAAGGGGGTGGCGGCGCTGGCAAAGACGATAGCTCGCGTACTCCACAAGTAATGTATGAAATTTCAGAATGTTACAATAAAAATAACAACAACACTCAAGCCCAAACAAAAACAAAAGCAAAAGCGTAGCGCAAAGCGTGTAGCTCTGGCGCTAACGCTACAAGAACCAAACGAAGTGGTAATCTCAAACGAAGCTTGTGAGCAAACAAATGATGTGAGCGCGTTGGCAGCGGCGTTGAGATGAGCGGCTCGCTGGAGTTCTAAGCTAAGTTTGATTTGTAGCATGCGACTTTGCAGCATCAAAGCTGGTCTGCACGAGCGCGTTAGTTGTGTTAGCGCTTGACTTTGCTGGCTTGTATGTCAGCATTTGCACCGCAGCGACGGCGCCAAGTCGGCGTTCCAAGAATAAATATTCAAATATTCAATTTTAGCCACGAAATCTTAAAACACTTCAAAACAGCTCCGCAAATAGCCACTAGTACAACATTTTAACACCAAGCCGCTAATATTAAACGAACAACATTAACCCTTCACTAACCACACAAGTTTTTGAACTGAAAGTGCCCATCTTCTTTGTTTCGATATGTTAATTATTTTCTTTCGCGTTAAAAAAATAAAAAAAAAAAACTTAAATGAGCAGTCAAATTCAGTCAACACTTGTACAATCAAAATAAGAAAAACAAAAAACGAAGTCAAAACAAATACAACATTGACTGAATTAACACTCTGGCGGCCAGCACTTGCGTGTTTGATAGGGACATACAGGTATTTCGGCAAACACGACGGTCACGTACAGTAGATTACAATATTACGCGCACACTCGTGTTTTTCGCGAAATAAAGCTCGAGAATATATTCAACGAGTTCTTTAATTAAATAAGGAGCGAAGCTTCTGTAAATAAACTCAAGGGGCGAGGTTACTGAAATCTAAAATCCAGTAAAAGCGCTATATTACAAGTAGATATGAAACATTAGAATATAGATATCACACGATATTGGTGATCAATTGACCGGCCCGAAACTTGCAATTATCCGCGAAGTATTCTCTCAATAAATCCATTGATTGATGCGATGTGTGGGAAGTGGCGCCGTCTTGTTGAAATCAAATGTCGCCGAGATCACGAGCTTCAATTTCAGGCATCAAATAGCAGGTTATCATGGCGCGATAACGGTCGACCGATGATTCCACCGGCCCACAAACCACACCAAAGGATCTTCTTCGAACTTTTCAAGAGCCAATAGAGCGAAACTATGTCGCTTGAGAAGGTCGAGCGGCTTCAGTTCTTGCACAAGCTATATTTTGTACGCTTTCTATTTAAGATCTCTACGTAAAATGCGCCAAGACTCCGAGTTGCTGCGAACGGCGCCGTACCGACTCTCCACGGTCTTCGTGAACACTCTCAGCTACGACCGTTATATTTTCTTCACTATTTGTTGGACGTGGTTTATTCGGTCAAATATTGTCAAATAATGAGCGCTGGATGTCGCGAATAGTATGCTCAGTAGGCCGATTATGTTGACCATACGTTGAGCAAAGCACCTAAACCACATTCTTTAGAGAACGTGAATTTTTGTAATAAACTTAAATAATTTGTAAAAGTGGTTCAAGCGTAAGTTTTTCCATGATGAAATGCCAGACAATACTGAACAAAAATAACATGACAGCTTGACACGACTCACGCGTGATTTGTCCAAAAAAGGCTATTGAAAAAAGTTCCTAACTTTGTGGGGGCGCTCTGCCGGAACAAATGGATGTCGAAGGAACATAGTCTGATCTATAAGGCGGGGGAGCCAAAACTTCACAGCCGCAATTTTTCAAATAGTTTTTAACAGGTCTTGTTAGATGAGGTCGAGCGTTGTTTTGATAATACTTGTAAATTATTGCCTGGTGTCTAGTCGAATATTCCTGGCGTTTTTTGACAATCGCACGCTGTCGATAGCGTTCCCCATTAATGGTTTTACCAGGTTTTAGAAGCTCATAATATTTCGGCTGCATTTTTCTTCATATTAAAGTAATAAAAAATGTGGAAAACGGTTGGCCTCAAGGGCCATCCCTGCAACTTCCCTCTAATTTCATACGCTAACGTTCAAATTTCGCTTTTTTCACTGCTTTTGAGCTCTTCGAAATTTTTCGTTTTCGATATCTCGCAAGTAAATCTACCGATTTCGACCCGGTTTGCGGCAAACGATGTGTTTTTTCAAGGTTTAGAACTGATTAGTTTTTGGTGTTGATCGGTCAAGTCGTTTGGAAGAAATTCGAAAAAAAAACGATTTTTTCGAAATTTTTTGTTTTGAGATTTCTCAAAATCTACTGGTCCGATTGGGTCCAAACTCACACGAAATTCAAGTGCAATGAAACCCTTTGGAATGCCGTTTAGTTTATTCAAATCGGTTGAACCGTTTAAAAGTTATAAGAGGGTCACATACATCCACACACACACACATACATCCACACATACATACAGACATACGGACATCATCGTAGAAATGTTCGGGGAAGCTTCCTCGACCCTCAAAACGTCGAGATCTGTTGAGAACTCGATTTTTGCAAAATGGGGTGAAACCAATATCTTCCCGATTTTTAGAAAATTTTCCATTTTCTTAGCGGGAAGTTAAAAAATGCTCTTCACTAGTGCATTACGCCCTTTGTTACCTTGAGACTTAGCAGATTACCTATAGGGAAGAGTATGGAAGTTTATAGCAAAAGAAACCATGATTAGTCTTAATTTGTAGTAAATTCGCACGAACTTGTAGAAATCGACCAATTTAGGTCTGAAATTTCGTGAAATTAAAAAGAAATAATTTTGATAAATCTCTTGATGGATTTTCTAATTCAATGTTCAACATCTTCCTGTTAACGGTTGACTAACGAACTGCATACGAGCTGTACAGAACTGGCACATCTAAACTTGACACTATTTGAAGGTGACATAGCTTCTTCTGGATTTTTGGGTTTCATGAATGAATCGGTGTAGTGTCCTGTTCTTAAATTTGTGGCGGCTAAGCTACTAAATTTCCGTTATAACAGCCAGGCTAGTGCAAAATCAGAATCTGTTCCGTATTTGGTTTAGTTCAAGTGTATATTTACTTTTATGGACTACTGTTGGTATATGTGTATTTATGCTTTGGCTTTAGTGTTTGAATTGTTGTTGTTAGTGAGCGAACCTTTAATAAATCATTTACTCAACGGACATGCGTTGTCGCGGGTCTTCCTCTCTGTATCACTAATTGCAATTCAGTGTTGTCCTTTAAAAGAGTCCTGGGGAAAACTAAAACAATTTTTGTCACGGATAAATTTAAATAAATTTATTTAAATGATTTTAGTATTTTAAATTTTTAATTTTAAATTTTTTATTTTTAAATTTAATCGTATAGATTTTGACGCGCAAGATTCTGACGTAGTCCTAGAATTATTAGCTCAATATTTTAGAGTGACCTAACGAAAGTTGTGTTGAATACAGAACTTCTATTTGGCCAACATCTAGTTAGGTCGATGCTAGAACCATTTGTCTACTCACTTAGTACTAAAAAATTCTGGTAAAGCGTTCAAGAAGAAGAAGTAGTTAGTCAGAACAAACGGCCAAACCACTTGTAAATTTCAAAAAGTCGAAAGTCGGAAAATAGTTTCGGAGATATTAGCGTGTTTGTATTCGGCTCCGAAAAATTTAACAGCATTTTTCTCGAAACTCTGTTGCCAGAATGGCTGAAGAAAGTTTCTTCGAAACGGCAGAACCGATCAGCTTGAAATTTTCACACGACTTTCTCAGATATACATTTTTGTAAGGTAATGATCGTAGCAGTAAGATTTTTTATAATTATTTCGTCTATTTAAACAATTCGGAAATGTCGATTTTTTTACAAACATCGACTTTTGTGAAGCTCCCATTCTGTCAAAAATCAAAATTTTTGTTAGCGCTATAGTAATAATACATTTTTTTGAGTTTTGGTTTTGAGATAATTTTAAGCCGAAATCCAACAGCTTTTTGAAAGACCTTCCTAGAGATTGCCTACGGGATAATGGGAATACCAAATTTTACAAAATAAAACACTGATTTGTAAAGTAATATATTAAATTCTGTAGATGTACATACATAATTTTTATTTATTTGAAAAAAAAAAAATATTAAAAAAAAAACACAAAAAAGGTATTTTTTCTAACTTGCAAGGGATGTAACCTCTTAAACCTTCCAAAAAACGATTAAACTAGTTCAGTATTAATTGTGGACGAATAGAGATAGAACTATAACCCGAAAGTTATAGAAATTAAGATTAGATTAGATCCGATTAGTTATTTGGAGTGCCTTTAACAAAATTTTAGTGAATAGGTTCGAAAGATCACGAACTAAATACGAGGAGGATTTTTTTTAATAATAATATGTAATAGTCCTTTTCTTATGACGTTGGGTGTCGCAATCTTGCTTCTATCACATCAATAACGGTAAATCGACTTTTCTCTGAAACTTAAAAATTAAAAAAAAAAAAGATATTTGAATTCGAAGGTTAGTAATAGGTCCCATAACCACGACATAATGTGGTTTGAGAAACACAAAAATCTTTGGAATCTGTGCCTTATCGCCAGAGTTGTTCCTCAAAATATTAGCGTGACCCTAGCAGTAAAAATAATGACTAAATCTGTAGTTACTACAGTTGGTCTTCGGAACACTGAAAGACTTAGTATTAATTATAGAATTTTTCAGAAATATGAAAGAATCACTGAGACTTTAATTTATACAGTACCGTCAATGAATTGAATTGAAAACAATCTTCGGAACATTATATTATATTTATCTATGAAAATATATTTCAAAAAAATGTATAATTCGTGAAACTAATAGAAAGACTATAGAAAAATTCGAAAGGCTAATTGGACAACAAAAGACATTCGATTTCCCGGCAGGTTAAGCAAAGACCACACAACCATGGACGGGAGCTATAAACACCACCAGCTCAGCCTGCCGAAGTCTCCATTAGCAACGATATCACTTAGCACCTGACCGAAATGCATAACAAAACAGAGTTAGAATTTTCATAAGCGTTCAAAAGGCGACGGCAAATGAAAGGGCAATTTTTTCATACAGGTTTACAATTCTTTAAGAGAATTTCGAAAATGTTTGAGAAACGAGATAACAAGCAAGCTGGCGATAAACGTGAGACCATACAGGAAATCGCAATTAAACTAGCCGAGGAGCAATTGCGTACGCTGCAGCTAGAGAGTGGACCTAAAGAGCGCACCGTTTTCGTGCTGGGCAGCAGAGGTGCCGTAAGTAAATGTGATGAAATAGCGGATGGAAAATTTTTGAAAAATTGATGTTTAAACCATTTTGTCGTAGGGCAAATCTACGGCGCTGCATAAATTCTTTGAACGCGAGGACAATCCGCGACCCACACTTGCTTTGGAGTATTCTTATGGGCGACGCACGAGTGGCACACAAAAACAGGTGCTAAACATTTGGGAGCTCGGCGCTTTGGACAACGCAGAACAATTGATTTCTGTGCCTTTGCGCACGCATGGACTCGAAAATTTTGCGGCCATTATAATGTTGGATCTCTCGCAGCCGAAACGTGTTTGGCCGGAATTGGAGCGCATTTATCAAGCGTTACGTAGCACAAGCAGTAAACTGTTGAGCCCGGATGAGGAACAAATGTATCGCGAGCGCATGGCAGATCGTCTCAAAAAGGATCACAACGATTTGGAGTGTCTCGAGCTGATGTCATTCCCAATAGTTATAGTTGGTGGCAAATATGATTTGTTCAAAGATTTCGGTTTGTATGCACTGAGGCACTCTACAACTCTTAACTAACTGCGTTTCTTCTAGACGCCGAGCTGAAACAACATATTTGCCATTGTCTGCGCTCCATGGCGCATCTGATAGGCGGCAGCGTGCTTTTCTATTCCAATAAAATACCCAAACTAGCGAAAACACTACGCGATACCATAAGTCACTTGGGTTTCGGTAGTCCTACGCATCCATTTCGCTCACATGTGACCGACAGCGCGGATGCGCTATCCATTTGGTTCGGCACCGATAGTTGGGATCAGATTGGCAGCGTTGGTGTGCTGAGTGTAGAACGTATCGGCGCGCTATTGGCCAACGAGGCGCCACAGTTGAATGAAGTGGGAAAAAAACGTTCTGCAAAATCGAAAACACATATCAATGATCCAGCCAAGGATCCAGGGTTTCGTGAGAGCATCATCGATGAGATGCGCGCGCAGAAGGATAAAGAGCTGCAAGCGCTTATTACGGAATCACAATTACGTGGACAGTTCGAGACAATTGTTTGAAATGCGTTGGGTAGTTTAAGCACTCGAGAATTAAAGGAAGTATGGAAATCGGAATATATTACATGTTTCTGATAAAATATTTCAGTACAATCTATAAAGCTGTGACTGTAAAGCTCAAGTAATAAATGTTTTCTCCACCAAATCAATTCTCATAGAAATAGTATGAATCTGGGTTTAATGTTTGTAATTATGTGAGCCTCTAAAGTTATCTATAGGAACCCATATATAAAATAAGGTCCCGACACTTTGATGGAAAAGATCATGCTTCAGAGCCACGATCTCTACTAAGTACCAATCACGCCTTTGATAACAATTTATGAATAAACTCTTTAGGTTATGGTGAGAATAACAATACTTTGGGAATAACCATAGACTTCTGCGCCTTGTAAAGTTCTAATGGCAAAGGTCTTGGCTTCATATTATTTCGACTCAAATATCTTGCTGCTGACTCAAATATCTTTTAGCAGTTGTTCTCATAAAGACGTAAAGCTGAAATCAGACATTGCTATCGACAAATAATATGAGTTGGAAACAAAACTGAATAAAATTTGAAATCTGAAATTAATATTAACTCATTCTCTCAATTTCTCAAATATTTTTAATATTATTAACCTTATCACGCAAGAGGGCGCACACCCTGTTTCGATCGACCGTCTAAACCTAAACTAACCTAGCCTTATCACTAAAAGACGTAATTTAGCCAAGACTTAAATCTAAGTAAATCCACATTTCGGGCGGCATATCAGAGATACCCCTTCCGTCAATAATAAACACACTGAAAACTTTTCTACTACTTTCCCTCATCATTTGGCTGATCTACATCCATCAACATCAGCCCGCATCATAGTGTGATAAATGCTGAGCTAAATCTAGGTCTTCATTAAATTTTATACTACGAAATAACTGTTGACACAACGAAGCATGAATTTCTCCTGTGATTTCCAGTCAACAGTCCAGTTACAAGGTCAAATATTATAACTAAACGAAATATAATTAAAATTCGACCGGAAGGTGTTCTCGGCTCACTTTTATTTCGTTTCGAAAATTCAAAATTCGTGCAGTCATTAGCGAAAGATTAATGTTGTTGGATCTTATACGCTAATGAACTTTGTTTTTTCTTCGAAATCACCTGCGCCGATACCTTATTGAAGCAGAGCCACACCAACTTCATTCGACTATTTACTAGATACGAGTGAGTGAAATTTTGTCTCTGTTTTCGGTTAAAGAATTCAATTTATTAACAAAACTCTAGATAAAGATCTCGAGTGATCTAATCAGTTTCGAGTAATAGTTGAACCGTTATTAATATAGAGTTATATGCAGTGTTTATTATCCACTACCACTACAACAACAATTACTTATGGCGTAGAGCTCACCTAAGGTCTTTTTATACCCTGAACAGGGTATTTTAGCACGAAATTTGTTACAACCAGCAGGAAACGTCGGAAAGTATATAAATAAGTCATCAGCGTGACGCGCTGAATCGAGTTAGTCATGTCTATATAGTCCCCCCGTTTTTAAGATATCGATCTGCAATTTTGTACGGATCCTTTTCTCCATAAGAAGCTGTTCATTTGTCGGAACCGTTGATATAGGACCACTATTACATATAGTTATCGTACAAACTTATCGATCATAATTAAGTCCTTGTATGGGAAGCTTTTTTATTTGACAAGATATCTTCAGAAAAGTTGGCATAGATTATTGTTCAAGGCAACGCTATATGCTCCCAGTATATTGTTCAGATCGGATCACTATAGCATGTAGTTAACAAACTGATCGATCAAATAGTCAAGACCTAGTACAAACTTCACGAAACTGACATGATATCTTCACGAAATTTGGCATATATTATTGTTCAAGGCAGCGCTATATGCTCCGAAAAAAGTATTATACAAACTGATCGATAAAAATCAAGCTCTTGTATGGAAAACTTTTTTATTTGACAATATATTTTCAGGAAATTTGTCACGGATTATTATTCAAGGCAACACTATTTGTTCAGATCGGATCACTATAACATACAGCTGACATACAAACTGATTGATCAAAATCAAGTTCATGTATGGAAAATTTAAATAATTTTAAGGAATGTTGACAATCACTGGCGAGATAAAAATTTAGAATCTACAACAACAATACCAAATTCTCTAGGAGTATATTTCACAGTACAACTTAAATGTTTTTTTTACCGTTTGTTATATTTCATTTTTATATAAATGTTTGGTCGTTTTTATTATATGCAGAATTTCACTATATAATAGGCTTTAGCTTAAGCAATTTACTTGCACAGAACGTAAAATATATACATATACATAATACGACACGTGATGGTGTTTATTAAAATTTTCGAGGGTTTTCTGTTTTTCATATTTCTTTACTAGTCATTAGAAGCCTAAGTACAAGCAAATACTACTAGTAATCTTTTATAATTATTTATATGTATTATCGGCTTTTAAACATATTCCTAATAATTATTTTTATTTTTCATAATCGTATTGTATATATGTATATCGAAACTTATGCCATAAATATGTATATACTTATATAATTTTATTTTCAACGCTTTTTTCCAGTTAGAGTTTTAAAAATTTCGCTAAAGAGTCTGTGACTGACTTACAGTAATGCAATACCAACACCCAAATGTGTATCCTGTTACAGGAAATATGTTTGTATACTTATGGTTGATAGGCGACAACAACAACATGTTAAATTTTTACATTCCAATGCGCGCTGCTGCACCGCTTGGCAATGTTAGCTTAAAATACAAACAAGGAGAGAACTTGCATATTAACTGAGAACCGAAGTACAGTGGTGAGTAAAATTACCACAACAATAATAAAAATAATAATAATAAAAATAAAAATAATAAAAATAATAATATAAATAATAATAATAAAAATAATAATAATAAAAATAATAATAATAATAGTAATAATAAGAATATTAAAACAATTGTCTTAAATTAGTGCAACAACAAAGAAAATTAGGAGCAACGCGTAAAGCCACTTCGACGGCAATTTGTGGCATGCAACAACAAGTGTGGTATGCAACAACAAGTGTGGCATGCAACAACAAGTGTGGCATGCAACAACAAGTGTGGCATGCAACAACAATTGTGGCATGCAACAACAATTGTGGCATGCAGCAACAATTGTGGCATGCAACAACAATTGTGGCATGCAACAACAATTGTGGCATGCAGCAACAATTGTGGCATGCAACAACAATTGTGGCATGCAGCAACAATTGTGGCATGCAACAACAAGTGTGGCATGCAACAACAAGTGTGGCATGCAACAACAAGTGTGGCATGCAACAACAAGTGTGGCATGCAACAACAATTGTGGCATGCAACAACAATTGTGGCATGCAACAACAATTGTGGCATGCAGCAACAATTGTGGCATGCAACAACAATTGTGGCATGCAGCAACAATTGTGGCATGCAACAACAATTGTGGCATGCAGCAACAATTGTGGCATGCAGCAACAATTGTGGCATGCAACAACAATTGTGGCATGCAGCAACAATTGTGGCATGCAGCAACAATTGTGGCATGCAGCAACACTTGTGGCATTGTTGACGTGCAGCAACATTTTAGAACGTCCATATCAGCTCCAGTATGTCGTCGCTCAAATCTGCTGGCGGCAACGCCTTCAATGTGCGCAATGTCTCCATATAAAATGTCAACTCTGACGTCACCACGCCATGTTGCGGTCCACCGTTATTGATGATGTTCAATTTCAAGAGTTGCTCTCTCAGCTTATCCTTAAAATTGCGATGCACAATGCCGTAGATCGTGTGTATCTGCTGTTCGGGTAGTATGGGCGCGATCGCCTCGTGCAACTTCATCATATGACGCGAAATATTACGAAACGTTTGCGACGGTATCGGCGGACGCGCATCCCATTGTTCCAGTTGCATGGAGTCGCGCTCCGTAACGATGCCGTAAATTTTAGTTTCAATTTCTTTGATGTGACTGTGAAAATCCTTTTCGATCGAATCAAAACCCGACACGGCGTGCGCGTCGTAAGCGGCGAAATGTGACTTGATTTTCGGCAAGAGCCAGAGCACAAGTTGTAGCGCGCGCGAAACCAATGCCAAATTGGTGCTGGTTATGGTTTTGAGGCCAGCTACGCGCATGGCACCGGCGCCAATGACCAGTTGGCAGGAGCGTGAATTGAAGGTGCGCAGCAAATCGACAACGTTGCGCGACAAATAGCTCGCCAGTATGGGTAGACGCGTGGCGCAGTGACAGTAATCGCAGAGCATTTGCACCAGCAGCAGCGCGGCGCTGACTAGACAAAACGGTTTGCCTTCGACGAGCAGCACCGGGTTGGCTTGTGGCTTGCTAGTGCTATTGTTGTTGTTACTGTGTCCATTTAGTGTGGCGCCTAGGCTTTCGGCAAAAGACTTGCTCGCCGGCTGCTGGAAGTCTTGCGCGCCCATGCGATCGATAATCTTTTGGAATTCATTGGGTATGTCGACTTGCCGCCAACGCTCCGAATCGAGCAGTAAAGCAAGTTTGCGCTTGCGCTCAGTGTGAAAGTGATTGGCGAAGCGTGAGGCTTGCACTTTGGCGGCGACCTGTAAGTATAAAAAAAGATTAATTTTAATTTTACATATTTTTATTTGTAATACCTTTAGCGGCACGCTGGGCGCGCCACAAATCTCCTCACAACCCGCACTAAACTCATCCACAATTGCGGTCAACTGTTCGATCTCATCCGCCGTCGCTATAGTGCGCTCCAAACTTTGCGTTGACACCAGATTCGCGCAACGCTCATGACAATAGTTGCACACCGCCACCAGCAGCTCATCCAAACGCTCCGTTACATTTGCATGATCTGTTGACGTTAGAAATGCTTCCGAGTCTATTAGATTGACAGCGCCTTCTTGCGCGCCGTTCACCGCGCCGCCAGCAGCTGCATCCGTTGTCTGCCGCATTATGCCCGTCACGGCGCGTATGCGTTGTAGCACAGTTAGCAGTGCCACAGTGGCCTCCTTTAGCAGCGTAATCCATTCGCTGATCGTAAGACTTTGTGCCTCTTCGCCGGCACCGGTCAGACATATTTCCGCATCGCTGGATGCTATCACCTCGATTACGAGCTGCTTGATGATGGCACGTATGGTTACAATCGCTTCGTCCTTGTATGTCGTGACAAAGGAGAAATTCTTTTTGCGCAGCAAACCCATGACTATGCACACCAGTTTGTCCTCCTCTGCGCATACGCTGTCCGTTTCGTTGAGCACATCAGATAGCGGTCGGTTGAGGTCAGCCGTAGCATAACGCTCGAATTCAGTTGTGAGCATTTTGTCGATAAGCTTTTCCATTTCGTTTAGTTGCATGGGGAGATGCTTGAAGCAGTGTATGCCTATGAGCTCTTGCGTTAGAATTTCCTGAGTGGTGCCTAGAAAATCAGCGCATTTATATATATAGTTGTGTTTTTTTTTTTTAATAAAAAAACAGTAAACATATTTTACCTATAAGATCTAACGCTGCCACATAATCCTGCGTGCCTAGCAGTAGTTGCAACATTGGTTGCGTTTTATGCACAGTCGCCATAAGGCTGAGCTTATCAAGTGTTTCCTCAAAGTTTTGTCGACGCTGCGCGAAACGCATCACACGAAATGAGTCAACCACCGCAGATTGGTGTAGCGTGCGCAATGAGGCACGCAATTCACGTACATTGCTGGCCGCCTCCTTCATTTCAGCCATAATGGCGTCTTGTGAGGTCATGGCGTGAAAAAATGCGGCGGATTTCTGTGACACTTGATGCGCTATTTTCACCTCGACAATGTCTAAATAATGCGATAATTGTTCTTGCAAAACACGACCAGACTGTTTATTCTCCTCGCTGGTGTTGGCACTAATACTTGGGAATACAAGCGCAAAAGTCGTTGGATGATTCAAATTCAATTGTTCTTTAAGAAATATATCCGGTATGGCGCTAAGGCTGACGTTGTGTGTTGGTGAGGTTGGCGTTTTAGCTTCACGTTCAGCCAAAGCGGCTGGTGTTTGCTGCGCACACATGCGTTCATGCCGCCTATAACGTTTACCAATTTTCGCTATGTATTTATCGAAATCTGCATAGGTAATCTCAGGCAAACGTGGCGTGTGCGGTATATATGTTTTCTCTACGAAATTGTCGCCCCACTTTTTTGTGAAGAGATTGCTTTGTTTACCACGTGATGGATCGTTGAGCACAGCTGGTAGATTTTGTGCCGCAGAAAATACGGACCATTCCGGTGGTAGCTCACGTGTCAGCTGATTCACATGATATTTAGCTACATGTGCATCGTAATCACGATCTGACACACCATCCAGCGGCAGCGAAGGACATACGCCATTGAAACCATAACGGCAAACATACGAGCCACCTTCACGCGTGCAATGCCGCTCACGTAAGTGCCTGCGTAAGAAAACGCGTTAGTATTCACTTATTACTTACAATTTATTAAATATACTTGACAAAATCGGCTGAAATTTTGAACGTTTCACATGGGCAATAGTAACATGTTTCCCAACAGCGTGTCACATTTGCTGATAACGTTGATGCACCTGACATCTGTTTCGTTACACCAATATGCGTGCCACCACCTTTCGTTATTTCGACCACATCATCTCCACTATTTAGCGGTGTAGTGCCAGTGTTTTCTGTTGTGGCCATAATACTTACTGTGCAATTTTTTTTGTTTAATTGTGTTTGTTTAATAATTATTTTTTTCATCAAATTCGTTGCTGATATTTTGCCATCTGCCCTACCCAGTTGGTTTATTTACTTCTGCGGCTCCGAAACTATTTCGTTTATTTGTGAAACATTTTGTTAGTGCACAGATTTGTTGGCAACGTTGTTTTACATACGTTTTTGCATTTTTGAATTATGTGCTAGCCGCTTAAACATTAAAAATACTGCAAAATATTTTTTCGTCACTTCATTCAAAACAGCAGAGACGTGTAGCTGTCAATTGGTTAAGGAACGTCATCACTTTGACATTTTATCAAATGTTTACACAAATACTTATAAGAGTGTTGATAAGCGACGGGTTTTCCATAAATTTTGAGCAATCTGATTACTTTGCGTTTATGGAAAATTCCGGTACATAGTAAGAATTCTAAAAAAAATAAAAATTCGGAAATTCTGCATTGGTAGGAATGCTCACACAACCTCAACACATATGTGCTGTATGAGTTTATATCTGACTATATCAGAAACATGAACTTAGGATAGTATGTGACTGTGAAATTAATAAATTTCTTTGTTCTTGTTGTTTTTGATTGGTTTTACACAATTTTATTATAATTCTTATAAGGAATTGTATAATTGCAAAATTTGCCGTAAATGTACCGAAATCGATTTTACACAACACTAGCCCTGGAATATAAACCAATCAGCTGTTTTCCGAGAGCGAAATTTGAGCTTTGTTTATGTTGCAAATAATTGGTTTCTGCAATAAGGAAAATAAAATAACAATGAGTTTTAGTATAGTTCAGCTTAATTGTAATTAATTTATATGTACATATACAGATGTACACAGCAAGTGATAAAGAACGCAAGAAAATTTGCAATTATTTACTTACAGGCAAGCGACTGTAAATTCGATTAAAATCCACTACACCAAGTTGGACATAAATTCTAATACAAGCTTAATTTAAGCGCGGTGATTTTGTGTTTGCTGAATTCTTGTTTTATAATTAACTCATGTACATTTGTGCGCTGATATAATGAAAGCAAAGCCAACGCTTTGCCTCGGATATACGCTGGCGCAATGCGATAAGGGTTTGATTAAGCGTGCCTGTTACATTAGTAAGCATTTATTATTTATACATAAATGATTTGGCAATGCACTTGGGCTGAGACGCATATGAGTAAAAGAAAACATTTGTGTACCTACATACAACTGGAATTTTTGTAAAATTTGCCAAAAATAATAAAAATACAAATTTACAAGCAAAAACAAAAAAAAAAAAATGAGTTACTGGTGGCCCTTTAGAAGCAGATATTTGCCGCTGACGTTTGGAAAGCGTGCGCTGCTGCTGTTTATATTCCTGAGCTGCTTAACTATGATATGGTACTTTGGGGTAAGTGAGCCAATTAAATTCGATTATAATGCAATAAATAGCTTTAATATTTTTTTTATATGAAAACGAATAAATAGTGTAATAGATATCCTCTATGCAAGCGTGATAAGCTTGCACGCACTGATGGCAACACGCCATGCATTGTGCTTTGGTGGACTAATATTGGTGCTGAAAAAATTACTTTCGATGATATTCTATGTGGCTACAATACATGCGCCGTCACCAGCAATCGCAAATACTTGCCGCAGGCGAAGGTATGTAAAACGGATGTTCTTACTGTTATTTGCATAATTTTTATTATAAATTATTTATATTTTTTTCTCGTAACCAGGCTATACTCTTTTATGCGAGTTCACTCAATTGGCACGACTTACCATTGCGACGTCAGCCCGATCAAATTTGGGCTTTACTGCATGAAGAATCACCACGCAACGTTTTGGAATTTTTGTTTGAGGAAACGTTGCAACATTTCAATTACACATCAACTTTTAGTCGCTACAGTGATTTTCCGTTAACCATAAATGCACTACCCAATATAACCGAAATAACCAATCCAAAATATGTGGTGACAATTGGTCGCAAAAATGTTGCACGCAATAATTTAGCGCCTATACTATTTCTACAATCGGATTGTTCCACAATGTCGGCGCGCACAAATTATGTAGAGGAGCTAATGCAGTACGTTTCAATCGACTCGTATGGCAGTTGTTTAAATAATCGACAAATGCCGGAGCGGTAAGTTAACAGTGAATTGTTGTTGCAATATACAAGTGGTAAAAATATTATATTTGCAAAACATAATATCTCACTTGAACAGCCTACAAGGCCGGCTCGTTGTGGTACCTAAAACTGCCATATTTTGATGTTGTTGTAGGTAGCCTAAAATTTACAGCGACTTTGCCCCGTTCACATATCCGTACATGTCAGTATGTGAGCAAAGAAAAAGCCACTGGGAGTAGACTCTGCGACGCACTGCTCCAAGTTTTAAGGGATGAAGTTGAAAAAGGAGAGAATTACAGAATGTCCATGCTTGGCCTCTTTTATATACCCAGCCTATTTGAGCCTTACCGCTCACCTTCGCAGCAATATCCCTTCTAGCTATATAGCTATATGTGATTAGTATAGAGTGCCGTGATTTGTGTTGTCCTTAATGCACCGCAGATGCCGATGAGTGAGAGCTCTTTGGATACCACTAGACCAATACTAGTGATATCCAAATATGAAATGTTAATGCTTTGGAAAAGCCACTGATAACCTTCACTTTGTAAAAAAAATTTGTAGATCTTCAAATTAAGCTTTGGTATCAGAACTGAGTAAGAAAGGCTGGAAGAATCATTATAAGTCCGGAGTTACGAAGTAGCCTATAGCTTAACATATTTCTAAAAAACTGCCCATGATTATGCACACATTCTTTATTTAAATCGCATTATTTGGAACAATTACAACACATACAATATTAATCGATTAATTTAAGTATTAAATTCCCGCTGCCACGCTACTTGGCTAGCATAGTTTCGAGATTCAAGTGCGCAGTTGTTGCACCAAGAACACCGTCACTCTGTAAGACACGACTAACGGACTTATTTGCATTTATTTGCTTCGGTTCAGTTGTATTATGCAACGCTAATGGTGCCTTCGATGCGTTACGCTCCAAACTACGCTTTACTTGTGGGTCAGTCTTCTGCAAATTAACCACAGTGGTATTAACACCCACTGACTCGGTGTTTGTCAAATCGATGCTATCCTCATACGAATGACTCTCTTCCGTATCACTCTTCGATTTCTCACTGCTACCAGCGGAATTGAGCGTAGAGTGCGAATTGGAGGCATTACTCGAAATATCTGAACCGCTACCCTTCTTCGCGGGCACTTTCTTCTCAACACCAGTTCGCGACTTTCTCTTCGCCGCATCATTAAGTTCAACCGACGGCTTAATCGCAAGTTGTTTGGACGTTTTCTCACCTCGCATTTGCCATCTACTTTTAGCTTGATCGATGGGAGCCATTTGTATGTGCTTGCCGATCAAACCCGATTGTGTTTTACCCTCGGCATCGAAGAGTGGATTGTGATGCAATATAACTGTGCTCATTGGTGGTGTAAATACGGGTGCTGCACTAGGTTGCTGACAGCTAAAGTCCGTATTATTGCTAGTCAATTGCAATTGTGTCTCTGCAGTCGGGGACTCCGTTGCACAGCAAGGCATTTCAACTTCTGCTGCGACAGCAGTGGCGGCTGCAACAACAGCGGACGCAGTTGGTATGTCTGTGTGACTACACTTATTTGTTGCGCCGCCATTATTCTTATTTGCGCCCGTACGTTGACTGCGTCGACTACGGCTACGATAACTGCGTCGCTTACGCATGCCACGCCTTAAAGGCAAGCGCTCCAGTATGGATATGGGATATACTGCTGTGGTCCAAATGGCGGTATTGCGTCGACTATTTCGTCGACTGCGTACAGTATGACTGCGACTGCGCGCGACACGTACAGGACTACGTTCCATACGGCTGCGACTGTTCGACCCTTGAAGGTGTGAGTTATGCGAGAGCACACGCGATGATCGTCCGCTGTAGGGTTGGTGTTGGTGTGCGCGCTCGATTAAGCTGGCGAGGTCTACATGCATTTTCGCTGTACGTCGTGGACGTGGCATTACATAAGAAGCGTTCAAAATTGTTGCCTGGCTGTTGCTTTGGCGAATGCGTTGAAATCTTAGCGACTTTTTGTTGTTTCAAATTCTTGCAATATTTTATTTACCTATTATTTATTATATATATATATCTGTTTTTGTTTTTTGTTTTGTTGTAAAGAATTTTTTTTATAATAACTTTTCTAAAAATTTAGGCATGCAAACTACAAATAAATTTATTTTCTATATGAGAGTGAAATCATGGCGCATTAGATTCAAAATACAATTCTGCGGCGTAAGGCGTTTTCAATTTGACAGAGTAACAGTAAAATATGCTTTAAAATTACTAAGTCGTGTAAATAAAGATTTTTGAATTAGTTTTAGGAAATGTTGCCGACTTGAGTCTATAAAACCGACTACGTAACTTGTGCCAGACACTGTGGATATGGTTTTAAAATCGATAGAACTTGGGCTAAATTGGCAATACGCTCGAGAAAATGGGATCCATGGAGAATGGAATTAAAGGCAAAGTTTTCATTTCCCATTATAGAAGAATATACTAATGCTTCGTTGGTCGACAGTTTTAACTGCGAAAAATATGTATTCACCGATGAACCAAAAGTTGAAATAAGGCTTCTTCTCTAGTAATCCATACGCAGTAGGTAGCTTTAAAGTAAATGACTACAATTCAGTCTTTCGGGCGCCAAACGGGCTTCTGCTCTAACTACAGTTTTCTAGTAGCCAGCCAAGCGGCAATTAAGGCTATCCTATATCCTATCCTGTACCAAGAAATCAACAGAACTTTTTGTTTGTTTTTCGCATAAAAATGTATCGATAAGAGAGCATAGCTTAAGTTATTAAATTAAATGGTGGCGTATCGTATATTACACTTTATTAAAGTACTATTTTTGTCTCTTTTTTTTAGTTTACAAAACGATTTCTTAAACAAACTATATTCCGAGGACATGTATCGCTTTATCGGACAGTATAAATTTATGATCAGTATTGAAAATGGTGTCTGTGAAGACTATATAACTGAAAAGTATTGGCGTCCGCTGATTGCCGGCACTGTACCCATTTACTTTGGTTCACCATCGATACGCGTAAGTAATTTATAGCCTGAACAGGGTATATTAAGTTTGTCATGAAGTTGATTGATGAAGGGTATTATAGTTTTTTTTTGTTTTTGTAATTTTTTTAACTCTTATTATGTACTCCATACATACATACATATGTATTAAATTTCCATACACGTTTTAGGATTGGGAGCCCCACAATCACTCAACTATCTATATAAGCGACTATCAGAGTCCCAAAGAACTGGCTAAATATATACTGGAATTGGATAGTAATGACAGTGAATATGTTAAATACTTGCAACATAAGTACAATCAAATTATGCCCATCACTAATCAACGCTTAATCGAAGAATTCTACGTGCGCACCGAAGATGCGATGTTTTTCACCAAATTCGCTTGTCAAGTGGTGCAAGCTTTATGGGCGCAAAATGCCAAAACGAAAATGGCCAATCGTTTGCACTATAATTGCCCGCTGCCACTACCATATCCAGCAATGGAAAGACCTCCCACTGAAATACACTCCTGGAACAGTCTTATAAAGCGCGCGCATTGCATGGCGAAGAGCATAGACGAGTTTTTGCACATAAATCGCGTATTTACCGAAAGAGAATTGCACGATTTGACGGATGCGAAATTTGAAAACGAATTGTGCTAGTGATGAGTGTGGGTAATGTGGGTTTTTGTGGCAATTTGATTGCGTGAGGTCACGGAGGTATGCAACATTTTGTGATGAAACATGAAAAGCGCTGTAGATGAAGCCAAAAATTAAATTTATGTAAATTAAAATTAGTTCGGAAGTATATATGGGCAAATAAATGCAATAAATGTATGTATAGATGTGTGTATATGTGTTTATATACATGACAATGTTGTTGTAAATACTTTTATTTGTTATTGATAAGTAAACTAATTCTTATATAATATTTTATATATATAATTTAACTTAAAAGACAACAAAACCAAAATATACCACACATCTATGTACATAAATATATGCAAACAATTTTTACATGAAATTATAACTGTTATTATAGCCTGAACAGGGTGACGAGCTAAATATTCGTCTATCTGTCTGTATATACGCCAAGTAGTCCCTCAGTTTTAGAGGTATCGATCTGAAATTTTCCACAAGCCTTTTTCTCCCCAAGAAGCTGATCATTTGTCGGAAACACCGATATCGGACGAATATAGCATATAGCTACCATACAAACTGAATGATTAAAATCAGGTTCTTGTATGGAAAAGTTTTTTATTTGACACTATATCTTTCCGAAATTTGGCATCAATTATTGTCCAAGGCAACGGTAAAATCTCCGAACAAATTGTTGAGATCGGACCACTATAGCATGTAGCTGCCATACAAACTGTATGAAAGAAATCAAGTTCTTGTATGGAAAAGTTTTTTATTTGACAAGATATCTTTCCTAAATTTGGCATGAATTACTGTCTAAGGCAACAGTACAATCTCAAAACAAATTGTTCAGATCGGACCACTATAGCAAGTATTTTTTGTATTATCGCTTTAGTGCAATATAAGTTAAAGGTTTATTTTTTTTTTTTTTTTTTGGTGAAATCATCATCCATTAACGCAGAAAAGTACAAAGTGAAACATGTCAAAAATCATTTTGCCGCAAATGCTGTGAAAAAGTTATCAAAAATCGACATATATTTTTCTATAAACATACATACATATGAAATATGAACAAAAATAATTGCTGATAAAAAATAATGAAATGCTCAATACACAAATATCAGTTGTGGAATTGCAAGTGTCGGCCATGTGGCAAACGTTTTGTGTTGTTCTGCTGTGTAATTGCCGCAGGTGCTTTATTGTTGGTGCGTATTTTTCTACATTTAATGCTTTATTTTTGTTTTCATAAAATCAATTTTCATTTCAACAGCTTTATCTTTGGTATCAGTTGTCAAAAAGTGACAAGTTAGACATTTCTGGACCACGCCTGCTGCTTTGGTGGACCGATTACAATGAAACGCTATATTATCGCAATATCTATTGCGGTTATTTCGTGTGCACGATAACCAATGATCGACAGCGCCTTGCCGAGGCGAAGGTATGCTCTTATGTTAATATATATGTATTTTTGCATAACATTTTTTTTTTTCATTACAATCGCTTAACAGGTCATACTCTTCTATGGCAGTCGCATAAACGCTCACGATATGCCTTTGCCGCGCCACGCCTATCAATTGTGGGCCTTACTGCAGGATGAGTCGCCGCAAAATGCACCTTATTTATTTTACCAACAATTTTTGCATCATTTCAATTATACTTCGACATTTAGTCGTGCTAGCGATTTTCCGCTGACCTTGCGTTCGTTGCACAATCCGAAAGAGTTAATTTTGCGCACATATTTCAGGGCGCTGCGCTATCGCAGCTTCATACCGGTGTTATTTATGCAAGATAATTGTGCGACATTGTCGGGTCGTGAGAATTATGTGCGCGAATTGATGACGCATGTGCCGGTACATTCATGTGGCGAGTGTCTGCGTAATGCGGATTCGCCGAGGTAAGTTTTTTTGAAAGTTTTTGCATTTTATTAGCTTTATATATTTAATTAATATTGTTGTTGTACAACACATACACCTTTTAAATGTTTGTTAGATGATTTGGTTTGTTGATGTTGCATACTTTTAGGCGCACATCACTATCATTTTTGATTGATTAATAGGTTATTCCATTAGTAAATTTAAAAATCGATTTCTTGTTTTGTAAATATTGTACATGCATACACATACATATGTATGTACAAATGAAGACTTTCTCCGATAATTAGAAGTTAATTTTTTCACAAAAATCCTATTTTTGGTTAACCGCCATTTGTTCAAAAATCAAAATTTTGACTAGTCTTACGGTTGTTACCAAAATAGGCAACCCTACTCGAAGCGTTGAAAATCGTTTATTATATTTATCTTATAAATACACAAATATGAAATGGTAACCCTACTTATAGTAAAACCTTCCGCCGCTAAAAATAATAAATTTGGTTTTGAGATTAAGAATAAAAAAAAGTAATATGAAACATATGAGAATCAGATCTTAAACTTCATACCTTTCTATACCCCTTATGGAATAACATATGTATGTGGCAACCCTACTTACAGTTTTAGCTTTTTTAGTCGATTATAATAACTAATATTTATTTTTTAACTTACGATCACACTATAGCATTCTTATACACATTATGTGCATAAATATTACATTTTTATGAAACAATTTGGCAACCCTTTTTGAAAAATTTTCAAATTTTATAGTTTAAAAGAACGTTTATTTATTGCTTTATATTCATGTGATGGTTTGCCAATATTTTCGGTAAGTGCACTTTTTTTAAAGTTATTAAAAAAAAAGATGGCAATCCTGTCGAAAAAATTTTCAACAGTTTGAAATTTGTATGCAATTAAAAAGGGTATATTTTTTATTTTAATGCTTTAATGTACATATGTACATACTCATACTAATACGTTTGCATGTTAATCGTTAAATTAATGGCAACCCTTTTTTAACTAAAGTAAACTTCCTTTGCTTAATTAAAAATATTTTTTAAATTTAAATACTTATTAAAATATATACATGATTTTAGTGTTCTTATTAAAAAATTTGAACAAATATGGCAACGCTGTTTATTTAATATGAAAATAATATGCAATTAAAAAGGGGTATATCTTTTGTGTTTATGCATTTACATACTTAAATAGTGTATACACTTGTGTATGTTAGTTACTTAGTGGCAACCCTTTTTAGCATATTTAGTATTTTAGTACTTTTTTAATACATTTTCTTTGCCTTATTAAAATTTTTTAAAAATATTTTTGTATCCTTTTAAGTGCATATATGTTTATAGTGTCCTTATTTAAAAAAATGAATAACAAATACGGCAACTTTGTTTTATTTTAGGTATGTATATTCAATTGAATATATATAAATTTTATTTGGTTTATATTGCGTATCGTAAAAAAAAAATTATAAACACTTTTTACTAAATTACTGAAATCATTATGGCAACTCGATTTTATACTGCTCACATTTTTAGTAAAATTCTTTTAGCTTTTCTTCAATTTGAGTATTACTTTAAATATGATTGCGAGACAAATTATTTTTTCATTCATATATTCTTGTATACATATGTTTATCGTAAACTTCATGGCAACCTTTTTTTTTTTATAACAATTTAGAGCTTTGTGAATAAACTTATTTTGCTTAAATACAAATATTTTTTGTATTATATAATAAATTTTATATAATATTGTATGATTTCAGCGCCCTAAATGAAAAAGTTGAACTAATATGGCAACTCTGTTTCGTTTTTATATATTTAAAAGTTCTACTGAATTTTTTTAAATGGAGTTCGTTGCGTTTCTATCTTGTAATAGAAAAGTGGTATAATCACCTTATACTCGATTTGTAAAATCATCATGGCAACTCTATTTGATACTTTTCACATTTATAAAAAAATTATTCGATGTATTCCTGCTTTGATGTGATCATTTCTTTAAATACCAGTATGAGAAAAATTATTTTTTAAATTCTTGTTTGTGAAAAGTGGCAACTCTGTCTCGAAAAAATTCAACATCTATAATACACGATCATAATATATAAAATTAGGCCATATGAAACTAGTTTTAGTACAAAAATTTCTGTACACATTTCAGTATAGTATAAACACTGCTTATTGAATTAGAAAAATCACTGTGGCAACTCTATTAAAAACTTTTTAAATTTTAAATGAAATTCTTTAAGCATTTCTGGTTTCGATTCGATTATTACTTTAGTTTTTAGTTTGAAAAATTATTTAATTTAAATTTTTGTTGTGAAAAGTGGCAACTATGTTCGAAAAATTCAAAATCTATAAATACGATCATATATATAAAAAATAGGCAATATCAACTAGATTTTTTTTTTCTTTAAATTTTGGTATAGTATAAACACTGCTTATTGAATTAGAAAAATCACTGTGGCAACTCTATTAAAAACTTTTTAAATTTATATGAAATTCTTTAAGCTTTTCTGGTTTCGATTCGATTATTATTTAGTTTTTAGTTTGAAAAATGATTTTATTCAAATTTTTTGTTGTGAAAAGTGGCAACCTGTTTCGAAAAAGTCCATAAGTTAGAATATACAATCATAATAAATCAAATTATTGATATGCCCTAGTTTTAGTACAAAAATTTCTTTACACATTTCAGTACAGTATTAACACATCTTATTTAATTAGAAAATCACTGTGGCAACTCTATTTTATACTTTTCACATTTATAAAACAATTATATGATGTACTCTTGCTTTGATATGATCATTTCTTTAAATATCAGTTTGAGAAGAATTATTCTTTTTGTTAAAATGGCAACTCTGTTTCGCAAAATTCAAAATCTATAATACACGATCATAATATATATGTAAATTAGACAATATGCACCTAGTTTTGGTACAAAGCTTCATTTGACATTTAAATCTGCTTATCATATTTCTGTAAATATTGACTTAGTACATACATACATCTGTTAACCATATATGTATATGTATATCAATATATGTATATATTGTACAGTTATGTAACATTGTGTTTCATAAATCACTCAACCCTCACTATACAATTACTCATGCCAGCTTCTCTATATCCCCACTATACCTTTATAAACTTATGTATCTTTCGCAATCTCTACTTGCCTTAATTCGTTGCCTAGTTTTAGGCGTGAAACCGATGTGTGCGTTTTATTTCTGGATTTAAATTCATAATAGCCTTCGAGATGCCATTTGTGATGATTACATAACAGCTACATACTGGCAGGCACTAATAGTGGGTGCCATACCTATATTTTGGCTCACCTACAATACGGGCAAGTACAGGTTATTATGTTATATAAAATATCAAATATAATTCAGCCTGCTTTCTTTAGGACTGGGAACCGTACAATCACTCCGCCATTTACGTTTCAGACTTTGAAAGTCCCGAAGCTTTAGCCGATTTTATTTACGAACTGGACGCTGATGAGACAGCCTTTGCCGAGTATATGCAACACAAATTCAATGTCGAGGAGCCGATAACAAATAAACGCTTACTTAAAGCTTTGCTTTGGCATTACAATTTTAATATTTTAAAGAAATTTGAGAATTTTGAAAAATTCGAAAAAGAGATGTGCACCGAGATTAATAGTCGGAGAGAGAAGCCAATTTCGAAGATTGTAAACCAAACGCACTTAATTGCCCTTTGCCACAACGCTTGCCCGCAACGCTGAAAATTACAGAACACGTACATCAGTGGAAAGCTAATTTTGCGTTAGCCAGTGTGTTGTGCGCCTGCTGGATAGATTGTTTGCAGCGGAAATGCACCGTATGCGCCGAAAATTTTACAGAGAAGTTGAAGCAGCTGGTTGGTTGGGGCGCTTGTTGAGTGTTTGTCATTAACAGGGCGGAGATAGTGGAGCGGTATATTGCAACCTCTGAATGAAAATATAGATATATTTCTGAAAAATATAGATATTTGTTTTACATAAGTAAATTTTGAGAGTAACACTGTTTACTCGCTGCCCTTAATTGATTAGCGTACAATTGGCGTTAAACGGTTGACTAGGGATTTATACTTCTGGTTTACACATAATTTCGGTTTTGTTCCGAAGACGGTATACATCCAGCACTGGGTAGGCGCTGAAGGATTTCTTTGGAAGAACTTGTGTTGAGTTTTTAGGTAGAAAAATACCCTAGAGTTAGGGACCTTTGATTAAAGGAATTTAAAATAGCTTTTAGATCGTTGTGTACCTAGTTCAGCATCTACAGATCGGTCTCTAAAAATAAACATACCAAAGATTTTTCTGGTAAACGCCATGATATGGCAGAATTAGATTGTTTTTTTGTTTTATAAATTTGCCATGCTACCGAGAAAAAGACATCCATGAGGAATTAAACACAACGTTTTCATTCCCCCTTTTAGAAGAATAGACCAATGCTTCTGTGGCGAAATCTACACAACCACCGACGTATCAAAGGGTGAAAAATGAACAGGAGCGGGTTCAATCTGTAGTAATCCAAACGCAGAAGGTAGCTTCAAACTAAATGATTACAATTTCTGATATGATTACAATTCAGGCGCCAAATGGGCTGCTGCTCTAACCAGCAATTCACCAAACTTTCTAGTTGACAGCTAAGCGGCAATTAGCAGGAACATAACTCCACTAAGCTGACTTTCATTCAAGGGTTATTTGAAGCAATGGATCTTAGAGGGACACTAACTTCAGTAAATTGGTAAAGCATATTCGACGAAATGCAGAGCATGCGCAAAGGATGATGAGACGCTGGAACATTATATTTGCGAATGCCAAGCCTTCAGCCAGCTAAGACGGAATATCTTTTATAGCTCCTTGTGCTAAAACTTAAAAGACATTGGACAGCCAGGGTGGAAAACAATCATATATTTAAACAAACCCACTGAGTTTTGGATACCATCGAAGCTAATGGGCTTAATGTTGTCCTAAAGTGACCTGCGGTCCGACGCTCCTGTGCCCCCTTTCAGGCAACCAACCAAGTATTTTAAGACCGACCGGCTAGTCCAAGTGCTGATGCCCACAAATCGAATCAGTTCTTCGATAGGCATTTCCAGAGAAACAGAAGACATAATGCTTAATTATTCCACGAGAGGCTAAGAAGATTTTTGATATACGTTTTATGTGTCCAGAGATCTCTCTTCAGGCCATCAAAGCTTGTGGTTTTAATTTTCTATACCTATTCTTCGGTTTGTTCATTAAGGGCTTACGAGCTAGCTTGAGAAGTGCAAAGTGTCAGCTCACAGTTTATGCGAACGTTTTCCCACTTTTGAAAGAAAGAGAGCTTTCTTTGGAAAAAGCTGTACATTTATCTTAAAGCTTTTCATCTCCTATCAGAGAATTGAAAAAAGTTACACTAGCCTTAAAGCTTTCTCATATCAGAGATTGTAAGTACTTTTGTCGTAAAAACTCTAGTTTAATCTTCTTGCTTTAGCAGCTTTTGTTTTCAGTTTAAGAAACTTTAAACGTATAAGGAAGAGCGACCTAGATATACTAAGGTATATTTGATATATGTATATCAACATATGTGCCGAGAGATTCCTTTTCAGGTAATCAAAGCTTGTTGGTATACTTTCAAGTCATATTCCTCGGTTGTTGTCATACTTTCTGTTTATATTTGTTATGCAACGTAGTTTAGGTTAGTGTTCTCTCTCTCATCAGCTCATCACCCACATAAGAAAGAGAGAACTTTCGCGAGAAAAAGTTGTACATTAATCTTAAAGCATTTCAACTACCCACAATAATTGAAAAAGCTCTACACAAACTTTGAAAGTTTCTCACATTAGAGATAAAGCTTTTTGCTGGAAAACTTAATCTGCTTGTTTCAACAGTTTTTATTCGCTGCACTTCTCATCAACATTATTAATTCTGAAAACCAATTCCTAAGCTTTTAAATATCTATGTACTGTGCCGTATATAGAAAACCGGGGCCCGGAGAGGATTGCGCAGAGAGTACCGAGCCCCCTTGAGGACTTCGAGCGCGGAAGAAATTTTCCCGATCTCTCCCCTCTCTCTTTACATCTTTTGTAATAAAACAACACATTTTCAAATTAGGTTTTATTGAAAAAAAAAACAGTTACAATCGTTGTCATGAAAACTATCTTACTTTTATAATATAATATGTATTAAATATTTATGTATATGTAGATAATCAGCATTTTGTCAATTTTTGTATTAAATATCGAAATTCTTAAAGAAAATTCACTATACTAATTAATCACAGTTATTATTGAAAGCCTTTGTACTTAAAAACTAAAAGCTTGATCAGCTCCGATCAGGCAAATATATTAATAACAAACTATACCTGCGACTTTATCACTATCATTATGAGTTTAGTGGATATCCACGGCGGCGACAAAGCGACTCCAGTGAAAAGCGCATAAAACCAAGAGCGCAGAGAGCACGGTATAACCATGTGCACTCAGCGTGACGGCGCCACCAGTGCTTGGTGTAGTGATCGGAGTACTTGGAGATGCATTTCCATTATTACCTTCACCGCTGTCTTCGTCGATATCGTCTTCGCCGTCCTTCGGCATATAATCATGGCAAGTGGGGAAATTCTTCGGCGCAGATTTCATTTGATCATTGTCACCAACTTTGATAATAAGTGCCATGCCAATTTCCGCATGGAATTCAATATGGCAATGGAAGAGCCAAAAGCCGGGGTTGTAAGCTTCGAAGCGTAAAATCGTGTAACCGCCGTCCGGTATGGTCACGGTGTCTTTGATCGGCGGTCTATCGAGATTGCGTTTGAGCAAATTGTAGCGGTCGAGTTGTTTGACCTATTGGAAGGAGAGAGCAAAAGAAAGTGTGATATATTATTAGAGAGAGAAATTGAGAATGAGAGTGAGTAAGTTCACTCACCATTTCAATAGTAACATTGGAACCCAAACGCTCTAGGCCCACCACACGAAAAGCATTGCCATGCAAATGGAAGGGATGATTTGCATCGAACGTGAAACCCTCATCGACCACGATCAGCTCGACGACGGAGTTTAACGGTACCTGCAGCACATGATGACAATTACAGAAATCTTTTCTACAATCGATACCCTGCTGCGCTAGACTGGTGTCATTACAGAAGAGCGAATCATCGACATTATTGCGTTCGGCCATCAAAGCCATCGCTGGAGACTTCAGCGAAATGTGATTCAGTTGCGGTGTGTATAACTTGTTGGTCTTACCCAAGCTGTCGTTGAAGCCGTAATAATCACCAGGATGGAAGACGGGATTGTCCTTGGCATAGAAATCATAGTAGACAAAAAATTTATAATCCGCCACAGGCTTGAGTGCATCACGATCCACACCCGGTACTGTATCGTAAATCGGTAGCGCCGTCATTTCGGCGGCAGTCAACGAATCCGAATGTCCCGAGCCGCGATTCATTGCATTCAGCTCGATGCCGTCGGCTTTATGTTGCCAACCTAGCACGCCGTTTGGCTCCGTCTCACCTGCGCCCTCATAACGCAATATGCCTACTTGAAAAGCGGATGTAAATTGATCGCTGCAATCCATTAGACCCTTAAAACGTATCCAATAGTTGCCGATGGGCTGATTTGCATTCAATACAAAGTCGAAACGTTCGCCGGCGTACGTGACTATGGAGCCCACCTCAAGTGGTTCGAAATCATAACCGTCTGAGTGTATTGCTAAGAGTGTGTGATTGTCAATAGACAACGCAATGGGACAGTTGAGAAACTCGGCGTTGATAATACGGAAGCGATAACGGAAACCGCGACGCACGTGGAATGTTTGTAATGGCATTTGATGCAATTGAATCTCGTCCACGGCGCGTTTGGTACGCTGCACGTTGGTAGGCTGCGCAGTGAGATCAAACTCCACTTCCGGGTCGGAGCTGCTTTGGTCCGATTGCAGCGCTGGCTGCTCTGCAACCTGCGTTAGACGTAAGATCTCATTAGTTGCGCGCAAACGCATGTTGTTGCTGCTAGTATCGTTGGGCGAATGTAGAAGCTCAATTTGGAAAGGTGTCAAATCGAGCTGATTCGCAACTGCCGACTGATTGAGTACAAAAGTTAATGGTGTGGTGCTTGTTGTCGGTGTTGTCGTGGTAGTAGTAGTAGTAGTAGGTTTTGGTGTTACTGACTTGTCACTCGCGCCCGAACGCGCTTCCTTCTTAGCTTGATCCCAGATCGCATAGTAGAAACGACCGCGTCCATTGACTAGCAAATTTACCGGCTTGTTATCACCGCGTGAGTGGTGATGCGACGCAAATATGCTCACACCGGGCGTATGTACCCAATCTTGCAAGATCATCTGGTGTTCGGACAAATCGAAATCATAGAGATGTGCATGCGCCTCCATCCCGCGCGGACGACGCACAATTAACGCGCCGAAGACACCATCACCACGTTGCATGCCGGTGTGCGAATGCCAAAAATGCGTGCCGGCATTGTCCGCACGAAAACGATAACGGAATGTGGAATGCGGTGAGATGGGGCACTGTGAGATATGCGGCACGCCATCCATATACGGGTAGTTGCGCTGATGCATGCCATGCCAGTGTATGGTAGTGCTGTCGCCCAGTAAATGATTATGCACATCGGCCACAATCATATCACCCTCGCACACCTCAATCGATGGACCCGGCATCATGCGATTCACCACCATTACGCTGCGCTCAATACCATCGCCGAGCACACAATGCGGTCTCTCACAGTCTGTGCCGTTTTGTGGACAGCCATAGCAAGCCTTCGACATAGTCTCATACCATTCAACAACAAAAGTGTAACGACATGTCATCGGGTCGGCATTCGGTTGACATTCGCGTGCGCAGGGATGATTGCGATAGAACTCTACTGTCCAAATATCACCGCTTTCCTCACGCATTTCAGCCGAGCGCGCCGTAGCGCCTTCACTGCCACGACACTGCTGACAACAGTCCTTCACATACACCTGCTCACGTGGACAATCCGGCGGCAATGGCGCACAAGTCTTCTCGAATACATTAACCATTGGTGTCACGACGGAACGGTCGGGTAGCGGTGCGCATTCGTACATAGTGCAGCCATCCTGACTATGCCAAGTCTGTCCCAAATCGTAGACGGTGTCATTGAAGCGGCACTTGGTGCGCACACATTCGCCGCAGCAGCTGCCAGGTTGTGGGCGTAACTCTGAATCCTGTTGAAGAAGAGAGCGAAAATTGGTTGATGTTTAAGTAAAACGTAACTAAAAAAAATAGTGTTTCTGTTTAAGGTAAAAAAAATTTAGTCAATACATACCACATCACAATAGAATTGTCCGCAATCCACTTTTGTAATAGTCTCTCGCGGCGCCCCGTTTTCATCTTGCTCGCAGGCGTGTATGTCACAGGCGTCTTGCGACGAGACCCAAATTTCGCCAATTTCGCGCGTCTCTGATTTGTCATCTATAAGCACAGCACAGACTGCGGGCGCTGAAAGCACAGAATAAAAAATGTTTTGAAATTAAACTTGATTGAATTATTATATTTTAGTTATTTCGAAAGCAGCATTTTGAAGTTCAAATTTACATTTATTCAGAAATCAAACTGTTGTATATGTATATATCTATATTTTTAGCAACTCAGAGTGATCACTGAAGAAAAGCTTAAAACTTTGTGAACCGTAGAGATCATAAAGCTTCTAAAATTTAATTTTCGATTGAGAAAACTGGGGCTCTAGTCTAACACCACAGTAAATTTAAGCTATACGCTATATGAATCTCTGGTTTTCTGTCTTTATAAAGTGCGGTCGTCGAGTAAAAAATCTTAGGTAACCCTATTTGAATCTTAGGCCTTGGCTTTCCGTCATTTCGAAATATGTTCGTCGTGTAAACAAACCGATTTAAGCAGGGCTCGATTAATCTATCCATACCTTTAAAGTCTGTCATGATTTCTACGAAGTAAACATTTCTAGAAATCTCCGCGTTGGTGTCTCATGAACCTTTAAAGAAAAACAAATTTTTCTTAAACCTTTGCCTCGATTTTTTTATTACCGAAAGCTTACCCGTTGAGAATTTCAAAATATGGGTAACGAGGATATATCGGTGTTTAGACTGTCATTGTAATTTTGGTAAGCAATGTATAAACATTTCTTTAGGTGCTGTTCGAGTATTTATTGTACGTATTTAGACCATATTTACAGAACTCAGCTTTGATGAGGCCTTGAGTACAAAAATTCATGAAAATGTGTTTTTTTGAGATATTTCCAAAACTTTAACTTGGGTTAGAGCTCAAAACTTTAATCAGCTGTTAAAAAGAATAAAAAACCTTTGCTCAAAATACCGATGATCCGAAGCTGGCAGAAGATGTCTCATGTGAATCTATATCAAGTACAAAGAAACTGTCGCTCTCTATCTTGCTTAGAGATATGTGATGTGTCAGCTTTGTCCGAGCACCGAAACCCACTGTCTAGAGGCGACCTTCATTAAGAGAGGAGAACGCATAGTCAAGCAGAAACAGAAAACCCCTCAATGCAAGTAATCTCGAAAGTGTGCTTAGCTTGCAACATTGTCGTAGTTTTGCAAATATTTTTCCTAGTAAATATATATAGCAATCTCGTGTTGCTGAATAAATGCGTCTGATTAAGGTAACGCCAGGCTTGAAGATGTAATAGCCGTTTTCCCACTAAACCGCAAAATCACTTCACCTAATCGGCGGCGTTACTCGTCAACGTCACCGTCGTGACTACTTCGTTACGCTCACCTGCTGATAATAATAATTTGCCTGCCAGCTGTTACACAAAAAATCGTGATATTTAAATGAAAAAAGTTTTTCTCTATGAAAAATTAATATTTTGTTAAATGTTAGTGCTTCAATTATATTTTTTTGTATAAAAAAATCAAAACTGTTTATACAATCAACTGCAGAAGGGCTTGCTTTCATTCATTTAACGAACTAGTTGCTTAGTCTACTTCGTGCTTAAGTATTTTTTCCCGTTCGTTTAACAAAAAATATTAAAATAACCAGTAAAGATGCAAATTCTCAAAACCTTTTGAATTTGCTTGTAAAAATATAAATTACAAAAAAAATTATATAAATTATATTAAAATGTATTCCACCCTTTATTGACGGTTAAGTTGAAACTGAAAGCTCAAACAACTGAAAATATACAATCTAATCCACATGTGATACGCCGGTCACGATCAATTTGAATATTTGGCATATCATCAAAATGTATATAAGCGCAATAAATAATAAAGACAGGCACAACACACGAAGACCGGTGCATGAACAAGGGAATTGGAAAGGCAAATGTAATAATAATACAAAATAAAAATAAATAAAAAAAATTTAATTTATTATGAGCAATTAAAAAAAATTGAAAAATTAAAAATTCTAAACGTAATAAAATAAAATAAATTGAAAAAAAAATTATACAAAGAATTAATTATAAAAAAAAATATTTTTACTTATTAAAAGGTAAAAAAATTAAAAACAAAACATTATTAATAAATTAAAAGATTAAGAATAAAAGAATTAAAAAGAAACTAAACAAAATTAAATATAGAAAAAATTTTGAAAAATCATTAAATTAAATATTACAAATAAAAATTGTAAACGAAAAAGTAATAATAATTTAGAAATTAAAAAAATTAAAAATAAAATATTTATAAAAAAAAAATCCAATACAAAAAATTTAAAAAAAAAACCTTTTTATTTATTTTATTAATTAAAGAATATCCGGCTAAAAAAAATTTATAACAAAATTAAATACTTAAAAAATTAAGTTAACTAAAAATAAAAGTTTTAACAAAAATTAAATATATAAAAAAAGGAAAAGAACTACTTTCAAATATAACAAATTTTATTACAGAAAAAATTTATTGAAAATGAAAATAAAAAAAAATTTAAATAAATTAATAATATTAAAATAAAATTAATTAAAAACTGCTAAAAAAATGTGATAAAAGATTTAATCAATTAAAAATATAAAAAATTATGTATTCAAATTAAAAAAATATGTAAGAAAATGTAAAAAACTAAAACTAAATGGTATTAAAAATTTAAATTAAAAATAATATTATATACATAAGTAAAGATTGAAAAAAAAAATTTCTTAAAATTTAAAATTTGATGTGGGAAAGAAAATTAAAATAAAGTTATTTTTAATATTACAATAAAATTAGTTTAAAACGATAAATTAAAAATAAGAAAATTAAAAAAAAAATAAAAAACTAAAAAAAAAATAATATTGAAAAGAAATCTAAAAAATACCAAATTAAAAAATTTGAAGTAGAACTAAAAAAATATTAAAAACTATAACAAATAATTAAGTCAAAAATGAAAAACATGATTTTAATAAATATTATATACATATGTACATATGCACGTAAAAGTTGAAAAAAATGTTTAAATTTGATTTAGATAAAATTATTTAAAAGTTAAAATAAAATTTCTCACATTTTAAACAAGAACTATTAAAAAAAAGATGATATTAATATTAATTTTGAAATAGATTTAAAAAAAGTTTAAAATTACAAATTTACTAAAAAATGTTAAATAGTATTATAAAAAATATAGCAAGAATTAAAAAAATTAACCAAAATCTAAGACAAATATTTTTTAAAAATATATGCATAAATGTAAAAAAATTGTTCTAAATCCGAATTTTTAATATAAGAAAAATATATTTTTTATAAAGGAAAAATTAAAATAAAATTAATTTTAATATATAAAAATGAAAAAATGTAAATGAAATTAGAAAATTTTAGACAATAATTATAAAAAAATTCATTAAATTAGATTTAAAAACTTATTAAAAATATTGAAGGAAAGAAAATATTGAAAGAATTAAATAATATTGAGAGAAATCAAAAAATTTTAAATTTACAAAAAAATTTCATTAGAATTAAGTATAAACAAAAATTAAAATAAGAAAATATTGCACAAAAAAAATTAACAAACAATATATTACATGAAAATTATAATAAGAAATTTAAATAAAAATACTACTAATGTTGTACTAAATTTATTACAAATTATAAAAAATACTAAACATTATTAACAAAAATTTGTATATATTGTTTATATTAGAAAAATAAAAAAAATTCGATCGCAATAAATTACGGAAAAGAACATAATTTACTAATAGTAAAAGTAAACAAAGCGAAATAACAATTAATTTGCTTGACTGAAGTGACTGGAGTCATAAATCGTCTACTGTTTTGCGCCATTTATTGAACGAACTGCTGGTTATTTTTTATTGCGCAATCGTTGGACGAGTAAAAACCTATGCATGAGCACGGCGTTGCATGAAGGGTGGTTAACAAAGAATGGAAAAAGAAAAAACCTAAAATATAGCAAAAGTTATAAACAAGTCAAGTGTAGATCAGCTAGGTGATATAAGTGACAGCGCGCACGTAGCACCACCACTACTTTGGGTGGTTGTGACGTCAGCGCCAAACAGTGCATGTAAATAATAAATGTACATGCTCCCGGAACTGTCTACAAATGCTCGTCAAACGGACTTTCGTTCGACTGATGACTACCTCGAAACGGGTTTTCCAGCGCGGCTAACTGTCGGCCCGCAGGCCTTCCAGCTTGATTGGCTTTAACAAAAGCGGTTTACCCTACTCTTTCTCCGCTAGCGGGGTCGTATTGTCTTGGGTTCACGCTTAATGAAGCTATCAGCGCTAATGTGTAGATAATATCGTGAACTTGTAGCGGCTGCAAATTAACAGCGTCGGCACTTAGCGCATGCGCCGCTCTCGTTAATGCTTTTGTGGGCGGTTAAGTGCGCCAGCAGTTTGACGGTGTTTAATGGTTTTAATTTAATTAAAGACTCATTAGTTAATAGGATATGTATGTATGTATGTATGCTTGACGTGAAGTTCAAGGCGTTTGGACTCGTTCATCGATGCTGCCACGTGCAGCATGCGCTCATATGAGTACATTATAGCAATAAAAATGTTTAAGTTAGCAACTAAAATTGCATTAAGATCTCAACGTGATCTCTGCCACTTGTCAATTTCGAGATTGAATTGGGTTTTTTTCTTTTTGTTACAAAATAAATCATTGATCACTCGCTGGCGGATTCACATTAAATGAATTTTTTACTTTTCAGCATAAGTAATCTGTTTCAATAGACGGAACAATAAGAATTAATATAGACTGTTAGAGAATATGGAAAAACTTTACAATGTCGCCATGTTCAATTCGTTTTTACAATACTTAGGTACTTGATGAAACGAACACGCAACTCGCTTAATAATATACATATATGCATATTGTACGTTGGCAGGAAGAGTATTTGTCAGAGTTGCCTCTATATGACTATAAGTAAATTATGTACTACTGGACAAAACGAACCCGCAACTCGCTTAATAATATGTATGGATAAGTTGGTAGCACTGAAGATATGTCTCGTTATCGAAAGAATGAATATTTCCAGAAAAGATATTTAGCAGAGACTTTAAATACTCGTAAATCCTACG